CTTGCGCAGCCCACACGCACACACAAAGTAGTAAAAGTACATGATGGAATGCACACAGTAATTCATCGTGGCAAACCACAGGCCGCTAGAAATGGTGTACGCATAGGCGTGCCAGCAGAAAAGCATCACTGTGAGGTGGTGGTACCAGTGTAGGAAGATCACCGGCTTCTTCTGGAAGACGAGGAAGGCCGTGTCCAGCATCTCCGGTATCTTGGACAGGACGAAGGCGCCTACCCACACGCCCACGGGGCCGTCGAAGAACATCCTGTCGTTCCACACACATGTGGAGCTGTAGAGGCTGCCAGGCACAACAGGCACAGTTGCGTTTGGACCCAGCGCGGGGTCCACAGCCAACCCGCCGATGCGCTCCGCCGTGAGCGCCTCCAGCAGGCGCGGCACACAGTAGTACGCGCCCGCTGCGGAGAAGACGGTGAGCAGCAGGTTCCACAATATGTTGTACCCGCGCAGGTTCATTGGCTGGCGGTGTGCCATGATGCTGTCCGGCACGTATAGCACGAGGGCGAGGTACAACGCCACCGCAACGGCGGGGACCTCAGTGTGATTGAGCATCCACTCCCGGAGTTTGTCGCCCTGGAAGTCCGCGAGGAAGCGGTTGTACACACCTATCATTCCCTCTGACATGTTTCCTTCGCAGTTTATCCGCTTTCTTTTCTTTTCTTTTTTCGCTTCGGATCTGTTACTTTTCGCTTTTCAGTTTTCTAGCGGCAAGCCTTTTTGCAATGAACCCGCTTCCCTCTTTTTGTTCTTCCTTCTCCGCCACCTCGGTGTCGTATAGTCGTCGTGAAGTGCTTATGGAAGAACAAGACAACAGTGAATGGGGAGAATGCGCAACCACATCACCCAAATAGACGCCACCACCACCACCACCACCAGCAGCAGCGGCGGCAGCGGTGGTGGTGCCGTGCACCCATGAGCGCAGCGAGGGAATAGAAACAGTGTGCGTCTGGCGTCACTGTCACATGGGCCTCACCTCTCAGCACACACGTCGCCAACCT